TTTAAAAAAAACTACTAAATAAATAAGTGCAATAATATTATCACTATTATTAATACTTTTTGTAATAGTTATATTTGATGGGTCACACTATGTGCAGTGTGGGGCCCAAACCAACTCTCCAGGTGCTCTTATGAGAACCAGGCTGAAGCGCTTATGTGCACCCCTGCCCACACATGTATTTCCACACTGTATATCTGCTGCAGAGACAGTCGTCGCTGATATTGACCCAGCATGTTGGAGGACTCGATCAGCGTGGTGTCCAGGTCCGTCCAGTACAGCCGCCGCTCGGTGTAGTCGATGGTCAGTCCGTTCGCCCGGCCCACGTTCGGCACCAGAGTGATGCGTCCAGAACCGTCCATGGCCGAGCGGTCGATCTTCGGCCGTCCACCCCACTCTGTCCAGTACATGAAGCTGAGAGGAAGACAAGCAGACCGTGTCACATGACCACAGCGGCCGGGACCGCGTCCTGAGCAAGCGTGCCGCTCGAGTCCTGAAGAATGAAGCCAAAGCGTCTCGATCGCCCCCAGCTGATAAACCCTCTGACCCTGAGGTAGTTCTTATCATGCCAATTTATGTTGAAGTGTTCATTTTTTCTAACAAGTTTGCTTTTAACTAGTTATTTGATGCTATAAAAACAGGGTGTGGTGTCATGATTGTGCTGCTACTGGGTCTGCGGGACTTTGATAACGAGGCTCCATCTCAAGAGCGCTAGCACAGACTCTGGCTCTGACGCAAGATGACCGCGGCCATACTGAGATGCTTTGGCTTCACTTTTCTATAGAGGACGGAAGTGGAGACGCGTCGTCTAGGGGTGTGTGATATATATCGTCTGCGATAATAATGTAGTAGTTGTTTTAACGATGTGCGATTTGACATTATCGAGTATTTTGCTAAAAGCATTCTACACACCTACAGAGCGCATGCATACATTACGTGAAGATTAGTGCTTCTGGTTTGGCCATAAGACCCACATTTTCCCCATGGTCATCAAGCCACAACCCACTTTATGATATATATATATAGAATTTGTTAAAAAATAAATAAATAAATCATACTTTCATGCGAATCCTTCCCAGCTAACACACGAAGTAGCAGTGTATCAGTTATGTGATTTATTGGTACTTTACTTTTATTTCACACGTTGC